CCCTCTGTCCCCTCTGTCCCCTCTGTCCCCTCTGTCCCCCCTGTCCCCTCTGTCCCCCCTGTCCCCTCTGTCCCCTCCGTGTCCCCTCCGTGTCCCCTCCCTGTCCCCTCTGTCCCCTCTGTCCCCCCTGTCCCCTCTGTCCCCTCTGTCCCCTCTGTCCCCTCTGTCCCCTCTGTCCCCATGCCGGGGGGTGGCAGCGATGTCCAGCCCCGAGCCCGGATTATGTCCGGCCGTGTCCGGAGCCGGGGGGGGGACAGGAGGGGACAGGAGGAGGTGGCAGCTGTGACAGGGGTGACACTGGGGGGGGTGGCAGCTGTGACAGGGGTGACACTGGGTGGGGGATGGCAGCTGTGACAGATGGGTGACACTGGTGGGGGAGGGGTGGTGGCAGCTGTGACAGGGAATTGAGGCTGGAAAAATCCGCTGGAATCCCGAGTGCCACCCCCGTGTCCCCAAGTGCCACCCCGGCGTCACCGAGTGCCACCCTGGAGTCCCCAAGTGCCACCCCCGTGTCCCCGAGTGCCACCCCGGCGTCACCGAGTGCCACCCTGGAGTCACCGAGTGCCACCCCGTGTCCCCGAGTGCCACCCCCACATCTCCAGTGCCACCCCCAGTGTCCCCAGGTGCCACGAGTGCCACCCTGGTGTCCCCAAGTCTCACCCCCGCATCCCCAAGTGCCACCCCCAGTGTCCCCAAGTGCCACCCTGATGTCCCCAAGTGCCACCCTGGAGTCCCCAAGTGCCACCCCGGTGTCCCCAAGTGCCACCCCGGTGTCCCCAGTGCCACCCTGGAGTCCCCAGTGCCACCCTGGCGTCACCGTGTGCCACCCCCACATCCCTGAGTGCCACCCCCGTGTCCCCCAGTGCCACCCCCGTGTCCCTGAGTGCCACCCTGGAGTCCCCGAGTTCCACCCCCACATGCCCGAGTGCCACCCCCGTGTCCCCAAGTGCCACCCCCGTGTCCCTGAGTGCCACCCTGGAGTCCCCGAGTTCCACCCCCACATGCCCGAGTGCCACCCCCGTGTCCCCAAGTGCCACCCCCGTGTCCCTGAGTGCCACCCTGGAGTCCCCGAGTTCCACCCCCACATGCCCGAGTGCCACCCCCGTGTCCCCAAGTGCCACCCCCGTGTCCCTGAGTGCCACCCTGGAGTCCCCGAGTTCCACCCCCACATGCCCGAGTGCCACCCCCGTGTCCCCAAGTGCCACCCCCGTGTCCCTGAGTGCCACCCTGGAGTCCCCGAGTTCCACCCCCACATGCCCGAGTGCCACCCCCGTGTCCCCAAGTGCCACCCCCGTGTCCCTGAGTGCCACCCTGGAGTCCCCGAGTTCCACCCCCACATGCCCGAGTGCCACCCCCGTGTCCCCAAGTGCCACCCCCGTGTCCCTGAGTGCCACCCTGGAGTCCCCGAGTTCCACCCCCACATGCCCGAG